TTGTTGTTTAATGTCAATACCTGCTGCTTTTCTGCAGAGCCCCCAGCTGTAATGACAGGCTTGCCCTCATTATCCTCATGTCTCAAAGGTTGTCTGTAACCTTATATCCTCCCCATTGGCCTTTTGGCTTCGGTTCAGGCTCTGTCCAGCCTGGAAGTAGCAGATCGATTGAAGAAGTCACAACTTTCAGACACACACTTGGCAAACAAAGTGAAGCGGTGCCGGCCTTTGTTCCCTCTCTGTCTCCCTCCATCATGTCTACTTCTGTCTCCCAGTCAGTTTTGTATTCTGGTGTTTTGGAGGCTGCCAAGTAGCACAACAATCTGAGAAATGTCACTGTTTAACAGCTAATGTGTGTATTTTTGCTGGATTGTTATGGCATTCTTTTAAGCTGGTTTATATTTAGAAGAAAATTAAGTAAGACACCATGTTTAGAGAAATATTTTACACATTCAGCCCATACATTCAGCTGGGTGGAGTGGTGGCACTGTGGCTAAGGATCTGTGCTTGTAGCTGGAAAGTTGCCGGTTCAAATCCTGTGTCCTGTAGGAGTAGGAATCTTACTTTGTTGGCCCCCTGGGCAAGGCCCTTAACCCCAGCTGCTTCAAGGGCACCATATAAATGGCTGACCCTGGACTCTGACCCCAAGCTTTTCTCTGCCTGCCTGTGTGTCTCATGGAGAGCAAGCTGGGGTATGTGAAAAGACAAATTCCTAATGCAAAAAATTGTATGTGGCTAATTAAGTGATTTCTTAAATGTAAATATTCCTTCTTAGAACCCCTCATAATTTTAGGCATTTCCAATGTTAAGCATCCATCAGATACTATACAACATACTATACCATGGGTTCCTGAGTTATCCTTTACAGGAGGACAGACATTCCAGAGGATTTGCAATAATCCCTTTTATATTGCTGGTGAGTGTTTTTTTTTTCTTGTATGTGAAGTCAAACACTGACTTTAATGAACAAAGTAATTTCCTTCTTTTCAAACAACTAGGACCTTTGTGAAATTTTCTTTACATGAAATACTAGTTCCATCTCATACAGTTGACCCTATAGGAATTATAATTTTGAAAGTAATACAGGATTTTTAATATGGACAATTAGGCTTTTCTTTTCTAAAGTAGGTTTGCTTTCAGAGAAAAATGAACTTGCATTAAAGATACTTTATTAGTGAAAATTGTGTTGTAATCGAATTATGCACTGTACTGTAGGAAGGCAGGAAATCCAACAGGAAGAATACATTTTCCTTCTCCTTACTGTACAAAAATTAAAATATTAGGTACTAATCTATAATAATTTTTGTCCTTGTCATCATTATTGTTCCAGATATTCAGATTATGTACAATATTCCATTATAAATATATATATAAAAAAACTTCCAGCTCTATGGTAGATACTTTTGCCTCCATCATTGATCAGACCTCAAGGTTATTAAAGGGAAACCAAGGACAGTGAAGTTAGGATTGCATTTTAAGATTATTGAACAAGTAATAGGTTTATTCTATGCCAAAAAGAGAAGAAAGAAAATAAAAAGTTTCGGCTGCTGAGCCTTCTTCAGGTGTCACCTATGCAGCCTATGCATACTTGTGGGTAATTTTAAATTATAGGTGAATGACAAATTAATTATGACAATTAAAGGAATCATGGGTGAATGACACTTGCTCATCCTGAAAGGACAAAATGCATAATATGACATAACTCTGCTCTTGTTTTCACAAATGCAACTAATTATACAGCTGCTTGGAAAACATAATAATTAATAATGATAATTGCTTACACTTATACAGCGCTTTTCTGGTCACTCCACTCAAAGCGCTTTACAGGTAATGGGGACTCCCCTACATCACCACCAATGTGCAGCATCCACCTGGATGATAGTCATAGTGCACCAGAACGCTCACCACACATCAGCTATCAGTGGGGAGGAGAGCAGAGTAATGAAGCCAATTCATAGAAAACATAATTGATCAATTAAGAAAACAAGTGACAGCAATATAGTAATGGTCTGTATACAGTACATATTGTTACTAGATGAACTGCAGAACTATTGTATTATACAGTATGTTACAAACTGAAATCAATGTTTACTTAGGATACAGTTTGTTTATTTTTTTTTAAATAGGACATTTATTTAAATAGGACAAGTATTGCACAATCAAGTGGTCTCAAATATCCTCTAAATTAAACCATAACATTTTTCACAGTAGTAAAACTATTTTCTAAAAAGCCAAATGAATTAGATTTTCCTGAATACAATAAAAAAATACCCACACAGCACAACATGTCGATTTCACAGCATGAGAAAAAGGTATATCATAAGAAACTAGACAACCTCAGTTTCACAACAACAGATTTCCATCACAAATACAGCAAAGCAATCTTTTATTATAAGAACATACAGTATATCTAGTGATGTTGTTCAGAGATATTGCAATTTTTCCATATTGTCCAGCAAAATATAACCACAAAAGCAAAACTTGACACAATATATTGTAGCGTATACAGGTTCTTTTCAGAACAAAGGACGAGTGGAGGCGCGATTAACAAACCAAGCGCTAGCTTTTTTCATTAACAATTACAAAAACCAAACACAGGATATACACGCACATGAGGAGACTGACTGAACACATACACATCTTGAGGGTGGTAATTACTTAACAACACGCTATACTCTTATAAGACTACACAGGGCACTAGAATTACTAGGACATTATTTACACAGGTAGGGTCAGCCGCTGGTCATCGTGCTGACCCTCATACTCTCCCCGGCTACCACTCCCAGCATGCCCAGCGGTACTACGAGCGCCTAGGGGCGCTTCCTCCTCACCACCAGGCGAGGGCGTTACAATATAAAACCCCAAGTCCTTGCCTTGTAATTGCAAAATTACATCTGAACAGGACATCCACAGCCTGAGATATGATTTGGTAGCTCCAGTATGAGAGGAATGAAATGCTAATGAATAATGAAAAGCTATGGGGTCTTGAGGCTATTTTCAAACTGCCCGCCTATGAAAAAGCTGATCTGATAGGTAGAGATAGAGTCATTCAGAGATTTGTGACCATGCAGAGGGAGGTTTATAGGGCATTCTAAGCAATTACCAGGGTTTATCTGCTTTTCTTTGTTTCTCAGCTTTCAGTCAATATGATCAATCAGGTTGTTATCCGCTGGTTATCAGTTCACACCTGAAGACTAGACTGGAGCTATTTTTTACAGTCTAAAGGCCATACAGAGCTGTTCCAGCACTGCCTATAGTCTAGTAATTGTAAATATATTTTTGGTTTATTTTCATTTTTTAGGCATGCAAAAAAAAACATTCCAGGTTCATAAAAAAATATGCAGAACTTTTTTTTTATATTTGCCCAATATTTCTCAAATTTTATCCCATGTAGTAGACATACAGGGAAAATACTACGAGATTTTCAGGCTGCTACACATGCCACATCTTGAAAAAATGATCTTTGAAGACAGAAGATGAAATGTTTCTTTTGTTTTTCTTCTTTTTTTTTCTTCTAGTGAGTGGTCACAGTCATATATAAAAAATCTGGTGATTCAGGCAAAGCAATCCCTGAACCCAGAACCAGGCCTGTACAGTCTATACTTCCAAAGATATTACAAAATATTTAAGGGTCCATCATTCCAGGTGGAAATTGCCTCTGGAGAGCTGTGAAAGTCATTTGGGTATCCTAACAGCCAAGTAAAGATATCTAATATAATATTAATATTTTTTTCTATAAGCCCTTAAAATATTAACAATATTTAGAACCAAGTTATAGTATATATACATTACTGTTGTAAAATTTGTACTATATTGTTACTTTATCTGTAATTAGTTTTCCAAGACATTAATCTTATGTCAGTGTACAGTACTAGCGCATGTGGAGAACAGGCAATCCTAAGTAAATAGTATACAGTATGTATATTTTGCGGCATATCTTAATTCTGTGATGCTGTATATCCAACTAAAACTAGAAAGATCAAAAAGTTGTGCACACTGCTAATATAAATCAAGGTTTGTAAATATAGTAAAACAAGGTTCTGGCTTTTACAGATGCTGGTAAGAACACTGTGTTTGGGACCTTAGACCAGCCTCTGTGTGACTAGTTACAGTATTTCCTCAGTCCAATGCCCAATGATAAAGTTCAATTCTGAAATTTGTTAATGTTTTTATATGAATTGAATTTTATACAAGGTTTGTTTAGTCCACTTAGACATTTTAACAGTTTATCTTAGTTGATGTATTCAAAAAAAAATTCATCATTCCTCACTGAAACATTTGCACAGATTACATGATTAAAAAGTGCAGTGCTGAACATTTAGCACGATGACAGAAAATGTCAAAGCCTCAGAGAATCAGTAACCTTCAGTAAAGATAAGTTTAATCCCAATTAATTACACAGCATGCAAGTATCACCAGTAATTAGAAGATTTAAAATAATTACCATACTTAAAATGAGACAGCCAGATGCTTTTAATCACTGAAGTTATTTAACAACCAATTAAATACCTTTTTAAAGTATTGCTTGAGTTCAGTCCAACAGGGAAATTGATAAAGCAGATGACTTGAGTGACCACAAGTATGGATTTGCAAGTCTAGAAGTACTTGCTACTGTATGTTTCTAGAAAACAGTACAATTTGTTAAGGACATGAGAGGCATCAAACAACCAGGTTGCATATGAAAATCCTTGCAATGTTTCATTAACAATGCTTACAGAGAAAAGTGAATAGAGGCCAAACTTATTTACTTGGTGGAGTCCCAAGTTTATACTCATAATGCACTGTATGTTTTCTTCAGGATAAGAGTTAAGAACACCATCTACTTTTCTATAGCAAACTGTAAGCTTTTTCTGGGGAAACAGCTACTGTAACTTATCCTATTTATTATCCTATTTATCCTATTTATTATTTCAGTAACTCCTAAAATCCTTATTTTTTACAGAGAAATGCTGAGTTTCAAATGCCTATGGCTTACTGGACCCCCTGCATTTTATTTTTAGGTTCAATGATTAATGGCTGGGGTTCTGCTTCAGACGAGGAGCGAAACTTCTCTAGCCATAGATCTAGTGTAGGTAGCTCCTCTGACGACTCCATTTTTACCAACGGCAGTTTTGCCCAGGCGCTGGTGGCAGCAGCCGGCAAAGCAGGCTACAGGTTTGATGGGACAAGCCTCACCAAGAAAGGTCTGTAAACCTATGACTGAAGCACATCTCTTGCTGCTCTCAACACTCCAGCTCTATTCTCTCATGGACCTGAAGCTTCGGCTATGGCTACCACTCTGCTACCAATCATGCATGGCTCCTAGCTTGGAGGTGCTCTCCAGATCTTCCAATCGCACTTGACTTCAGCTTCGCCCATCTTTTCACTTTCAAGGAGGGAGTGAACGCCATCCTTCAGAATCTGGAGAATTCTCTTAAGATGGAATTCTGGCTTTTATCACTAAGCTTCCTGCCCCTCTTCCTCAAATTTAAACACATTATTGCACTTTGTTTTTTTTTTCTGATGTTCCTTTATAAATAACTGTCAATTGCATTCAATGTCATTAATGTTATAACAGGTATCTTCTTCCTCAGACTGCTCTATCATTTGAGACATTTTCTGTATGTGGGAATCGGGGCCTTCATTGTTTTCTGCTGTAAAAATAACAAACTGCTTTTTTGTGTTTGAACTCTGTACGGTATCTGTCAAATGTCAAAGTTATGGATGATGGTATGGAGTAATTCCAATAAGGTTTATGATACACAGAATACTCAAAACCAGCAGCTACTGTATATCACCCTGCAACTCACAAGCGTCACCCACTGAAGTTAAGCTGATGTGAGCCTGGCCAGTGCCTAGATAGGAGACCTTCTGGGAAAACTAAGGTTGCTGCTGGAAGAGTAGTTAGTGGGACCCTTAGGAAGCACTCACCTTGTGGTCTGTGTAAATCCTAATGCCCCAGTATAGTGATGGGGACACAATACTATAAAAAAGGCTCTGTCCTTCTGATGAGACATAAAACCGAGGCCCTGACTCTTTGTGGTCATTAAAACTCACAGGGCATATTTCAAAAAGTTAACCCCGATGTCCTAGCCAAATTTGACCCCTGGCCTATATCAGTCATGGCCTTTCTAATAATTCCCATCTATCAATTGGCTTCATTGCATTGTTCTCCTCCCCACTGATTGCTGATCTGTGGAGAGTGTACTGGTACACTTTGGCTGCCGTTGCATCATTCAGGTGGGTGCTTCACATTTCTAGAAGTAGATGGAAGCCCCCAATGGCCTGTAAAGTGCTTTGAGTGGAGTGTCCAGAAAAGTGCTATATAAGGAATTATTAATAACAATGGTAATAATTACATTTTATTAGTAGTAGTAGTAATAATAATACAAATTTTAAAACACTACAGAGCTAAACTGCAGGGAAAGAAATATTTACATAATTTGGTGCTTTATTTTCTCATATACTGTATTATTATGATGTATTTTTAAAGAAAGCTATATACTGTAGATAATACATTTCAGAGTTTTAATAGCATACCCTGTAGTCACTAAGAATTTTGGGAATGGATCAATATTATAACCAATGTTTGCTTTCAGTCTTTCACAACATTAAAGATGACAGGGATAGCATGATGGCACGGTGGTTAGCAATTGCGGAGCAATTCCTGGGGTGCTATCTGTGTGGAGTTTGTATGTTTTCCCTCTGTTTGCATGGGTCTCATCTGGGAGTTCTGGTTTCGTTCCAGTCTATAGACATACTGTAAGGTAAATTAGCTTCTGGGAAATTTGGCCCTAGTGTGTGTGTGTGTGTGTGTGTGTGTGTGTGTGTGTGTGTGTGTGCGTCTCTGTGTACCCTTGCGCTGGTTGCTTACCCATGAACCAGTTCCCCATGACCCTGTATTGGTTAGAAAATGGATGGATGGATGGATGAATGGATAAAGAGGACAGAACCTTCTAGAATTCAGATTTTGATTATAATGCATTACATAGATTCTTAAAAACTAATGTATAAAGTTTTTAGCAGAACATTTAACATTTAACATCTAGCAGAACATTTAAACTAGACTTATGTCAAGATTTCTTGGTGTTTGCATAATCTTTAAAAACAGTTACTGAAATATAGATGTATGATTTCACAGAACATTTTTATAGAAAGTATTTTGATTCTAACAAATTATTTTTATTACATCAAACATGTAGCTTTGCCATCAGCGTTTCATTTCTCTGGTAATCCTTAGGACAAAATAATGCCGATAGCCCCTAATTTAACTTATTTTAAGGCTGATTTAACAGGTGAAAGACATATAAGTCAAGAAAGAACAGAAATCCACATGTACTTGTTAGTGATATTAATTTAATATCTAACCATAATAATGCCAATATAATGGTTGATTTACTTAAATTAGATTAACTTAAAACTGTAGAAAAAGTTAACCTTTAAAACATAGAAGAAAAATGTAGCAATTAACCAGTAAGATAAGTCCACAAATATGTGATTGTGATCCAAAATTTAGTGTTAACCTCATGATATCCATATCATGCATAGTGTACATTTCATTGCAACATTGAAAACAATATTGATTCTTAGTTTTTTGTCTAACTTAATACAGATTTACTGGGTGTTAAGTAGTTCCAATTCTATCACTATGATCACTTGCCTTTGTGGAGTTTTATTCTCATTATTTTTTTAACAATTATATTTAACAGGCCTTAGATAAAATAGAGGTTTGGTCCTGATGAAGGTACTTTGAGGAAGAAATCTTAACCTTATACAGTGTGTCTTAATGTAATAAAAATATATGTTTATGGAACATTTAATAAAATGTAAAGGTGAAAATATTGTGTATATTTCTTTTGTACTTTGCACCTTGTAAATATGTTTTGGATGTGTGTGTATTTCACCTTATATTCAATGGAAAAAGTAATTTGCTGGTGTGGTGTAAAGAAATAAACATAATGGTTGTCTTTTTAAACTACTTCATGAAGCATGATTTTTTTTTCAGAATTGCTTTACAATGTATGAATCCAAACCTGATGGAAATGTTTTTCATGTGTTTTGTTTTTTTAGGAAAAGGCTATCCTCAAAGGCCTCGACCTGGAAGTCCATTCTCCACAGACAGTAATACAAGTGCAGCATATAACCAGAGCCAAAAGTCCAGGCCCATGAAAAAACACAAGGCTGGCAGGCTGGAGCCAGCCCCAGCGCCTCATCGCAGAGAGGGCATCACAGACGGTGAGTGTGAGGATGTCTGTGACTAGAATGCCAACTGAATTGTACACTTGCAGTATGAAATTAAACAACAGTCGATAGCTACAAAGTGTTTAAAGCCATTTAAGAAAATAGTCCATCAACAATTATTATAGTATTATTATAGCATTGTATTATTATAGTATACGTATTATTATACTATAATAAGTACAAATAATATACTTTAAATATTTGAATGAACCCTAATGTCCTCTAAATCTTGTTGAGAAGAACTTCGTTTTTACATCAAACATTATATACTGTACCATTTTGTTTACAAATTTACCAATTAAATAATACAATGAGTATTTCCTGCATTTATTGTGTCCCAGGATGGCACAATGGCTTGGTGGTTAGGATTACTGCATCACAGTTCTAGTAGTCCTAGGTTCCTAGGTTCATCAGTGTTGAGTATATACAGTATGTTCTCCCTAGGTTTTGAATAGGTTTTTGCTGAGTGCTCTAGTATCCTTGTTCCTTCTAAACACGTACTGGTTTTTGATTTGCAACTCTAGGTTGCCTCCCCAACATTCATTATCATGAGGAAGACATCTGGTCTCCTCACCTCATTACACAATCATGAACAGAATGGACAAAGTGTTGCCTCTTTTTCTACACTGTGTGCTCTGGCAGTCAAACTGTATGGGCAGATTGATGCCCTGAGTGAATTAGGAACTGCAAAGAAAGAATTTAGCAACAATAGTTTAGTTCCTATAGAATTTAAGACCAATAGGCATTGCCAGTGAGTATTCCCTAACAGTAAACCAGGCAGTAAAGGTGGTCTCAATGATGACTGTATATGTGGGTGACCTTGAAATAACCATCTGTTCACTGATCAAGTAAACAATAGAAAAAATAAAACAATCCTTATTACAGTCCATCTACTGCAGCTGACACTGTTGTTGTGATATGTTTTCTTTATCAAGCATGGATAAATGGTGAAATGGCTGCATAATCAAATTGGTTTCATCTGTGTTAGAAGTCACAGGGTAACATTCTATGATGTGTTGGGTTCCTTCAGAAATGCTTTTTGGAAAATAACCATATCACCTGAAATTATTTGAAAATCTTGAAAAGAAAGTAAATGTATTTAATATTCAAGTAAAGGTTTTATATAATCATTTTATTGAAAAATAATTAAGACGTCAGAACTACAAGAAGTGAAGGTAATAATCCTGTTATCTGAATGCCCCATCATTTGTAAAGCTCCTTCACAGAAGGCTATTTATATATATATAGTTACTGTATAAATCAGTCTTCATGTGTAGTTTTATATGCCATCTGTATCAAGAACAATAGTGTGCACAAATGTGAGTGTCATAGCATAGGAAGTACAAAAGTGTGTTGCTACTGAGGCCTTTTTGTGTGGATTACTTAGTAGCAGTGCTGCTATAGTATAATATCTTCTCATGGAATAGGATCAGTATCTGAGAAGAAGGGCACACCCAGACAGAATACTGTACAGAAGCAGTATATGATATGAAAATGCATTGGTTTTCAAATGGTATCCATTTATTTCAGTGACATTTCCCTTTTTTTCAAAAGTGCTTCACGAATGATTTTTGTTTTGATTTCTTTAAAGTATTTAATTAAACAACATGTTTTATAATGTAAATGTGCAATCCAAAATTAGAGTGGTGCTCTTCCTCACAGCCCAAGACACAAGGCATCCAATTAATCTTCCAAACCTGCTTCAGCTGGGTCCAGTGACAAAGATAATTTGTGGTAAACTATATTTATAACACCCCAAATAGTGATACTAAGCTAATGGTTCATTCCAAATGTATTTTTTTAAATTAATACAGTGGTTTATAAACTTCTAAATAAACATAGTTGCTTTCCTCATTAATTAGTTGTGAAAATGCATGTTTAGCATGCAACTGGAGTTTGTCTCGATGGAGCTGTCCTGTTTGAAAAACAGCAGGGCTATCAGGTTTACTTAGCAGGGCTTCTATTTAATAAATATATTTTGCCATAAAATGTGGTCAGTGTGGTGTCTGCTGTAGCATAGAGAAGGCAAGTGATGTTAAAACATACATTTTTTTAATGTGTTAAAGATATCTAATGAAAAATTGTACATTCTCAGTAGTGTTTATGATGTAATGTTGAAACACTATGTTTCATTTGTTACTGAAACATAAAAAGAGGATTTCTTGCCCTTGATGTGTAGTGGCATCCTTGTGTTCAGAATGAAGTTGTTTTATCAATTATCTTTGTCGATGCTTTTCAGATCACATAATTAAAATATTTTTCAGTAACTGAAAGAAATAGGTCAGGAAAATTGTATCATTTATTTCAATATGTGGATAGCAAGCAAAGTCGTAAGCTAAAAATAATGTTTTTTTTTAGGAATATTTATACTTTTTTATATTTTGATGGATGCTTTTCCTTTCTAGGGTTTATAATGTTGAAACAGTGCACTACTTTCCAGGAGCTCAGTTGTGTCTTTCCTTGCAGACCTCCCTCCCCCTCCAGACCCACCGCCATGCCAGGGCTCTAGGGCTCAGCTCGGTGCAGGACAGCGAGCTGGGGGCATGGCCAACTCTGGAGAGAGGAAGGCCAGCTCCTTGGAGCGACAGCAGGTCTCCAGCCTGGAGGAAAAGAAGAGCTCCCTGGAGAGGCAGACTAGGACATCTCTAGAAAGACAGCAACAAGCCCAGGATCGTGTGGGCTCTATGGAGCGCAATGATGATGTCAGGAGACACCACAAACAAGCACTTGGATCAGGTAGGTTAAATGAAATGGAAACAAACTCATCGAGTTCTGCTTTACTTTGAGTTTAGCATTATAAGTGTTTATGGCTGTCTTGAAAAGTTCTGATTAGTGACATGATACAATTGGGATCCATTGCCAAGCCATGAGAGAAAGTAAACTCAGTGACTCAGCAAGCAGATGTCACTATCAAGATGTCACAATGAACTCAACTTGGAATTCCTTTTAGTAAAAATCAGGTTGTTATGCAACTCTGAAGGATTATAAATGGTAACTAAAAACCTAACCTAAAATTTAAAACCTAAAAATCTAAAAATCCCAGTAAAATTTTCAATAGAATCTGAGGTAGTCAGGTATGAGCCTCTTATAAACTTTTAAAAGTAAAAAACAACATTTTTGACAACTGTCTCTGGCTACTTGAAAATCCCACTCAAAGAAGGGTTTAGTGTATGAGGTCAGCTGTACCAACATCTCCAGCTCTCCTTTGTCAAAGCCTCACTAAAAAGTAGTTGCAGTAAGCTAAAAATTTCTGAAAATATTGAATAACTTTAAAACAATCCATATACAGTAGGTATAACTGGTACCGCTGTCACACATAACAATATATATAATTGAGAAAAGAGCCAAGGATAATGATTTGAAGATTAGAGATGAAAGAGATTGTCGGGAAGCCTTCATCCAGCAGTAGATGGAAAAGGCCTGATGGTGATGCAGAATATATTTAGAAACATGTTCTTATTGCCTTTTCATAATTCATAATATTGTAGGTTTAAATTAGCCTTTGTTGTTTTTCAGATATTGTAATTGGGTAACAGGGCTTATTTTTAATGTTGAGTCAGTCCCCATGCAACCCATACTGTACCTTTAAGCTCAGACTTAACTCTGTTTAGAAGATTATGTGCTCAGTATTCTTTATTCTTTCCTATGCTATTGAAATATGAAATTCTCCATGAAAGGAAATGCTGACTGCAGTCAAATGCTTCACAGACATGCTGTTATCTCATGTCTCATGTTTTGCTTCAAATGCTTTAAATAAACGGGAGATAAATGAAAAAGATTTTCTCATCTATGGTCCTTCAAAAATCAGCATTCTTCATGCTTTCAAAATCCCTCTTGCCAAGCTTCTGGTATTGTTCAGTGTGAGGGCTGCCATGTAACAATGGCCCAGTTTCAAGTGAAGTCACAGCATTTCCTGAAAAAGTTCAAGAAAGTGTTGCTCAATGGCAAAATAAACATCCCTGCAGAAAGACAGTGTAAGTCTCATTTATATGTTAATTGCAAAGACAAAGCCTTTTATAGACACAACATTTTACATAGAAAAAAAATAGTTTAGAGTAACTAACCAAGGAAAAGAAGGGGTACTACAGTTACCAACAGTATGCTGGTTTTGAAGCTAATTATCTCGAACAAAAGACATTTTGCCTTTTCCATTCTACATAGTACAATTAGAACACAGTAAAATATTCAGTAAAGATTTCTTAGATTCTAGGTCCTCAGCAGTTTTCTGTCATTGTGAAATTGAACCTATGTTTTTTGTTTTTAATTAGTACTGTAAATTCAGAAATATACTATCAACAGATATACAGTATACTGTATATATACTCCCCCAGAATATACATGAGTGGGATAGGACAGCACATCAAAAATATCACTCAGGGACAAGAAGCTATGTGAATCAATGGTCTAGGAATCTAAATGAGTAAAACATATAAGATAAGACCACTTTACAATTTCTTGAATTAGGAATTTGTCTTTTTCACATACCCCAGCTTGCTCTCCATGAAACACATAGGCACACAGACAGGGGGAGAGAAGCTTGGGGTCACAGCACAGAGTCAGACATTTATATGGTGCCCCTGAAGCAGCTGGGGTGAAGGGCCTTACTCAGGGACCCAACAGAGTAGGATCCCTCTGCCAGTTGCAGGATGTGAACCAGAAACCTTCCAGCCACAGCCACAGATCCTTAGCCACAGTGCCACCACTCCATCCTATTTAGGCCAGGTAGATCTTGCTTTGTTTACTTAATATAATTATTCAAACAAACAAACAACAACAATAATGGAAACAAAGAATGATTGTGTTATAGTTAATTTAGCTTTTCAGGTGTTTTATAAATTCCACATAAAAGATTAATTCTAACATTTCAGACATTAGTCATTCAAGGTAACACTTCTACCTGCATTAAGAACTGGGTAATGGAATTCCCTGTTCAATCTTTCCATCCAACAGGCACCTTCAGAATCAACCTTATAATACAAAACAGAGGTCAAATGTGGAAAATTTGGAGACGTGCATAAAGTACAAGAGGCATGTCTTTACACCAAGGGTTGTGGGAGTCTGGAACAAACTACCCAGCTCTAGTTTTAAGGCTCACATACTTGCTTTTCATTTTTAAACTTCTTACTGTATGTTCTTGCAATTAAACAAAAATGCTAAACAGATCTTCTTCTTCTTCTTTTTCACAGCCTTAGTCCCAGACTGTCCTGGGGTCAGCTGCTTTGGTTGCTCTTCTCCACTTGTCTCTGTCGAGCACATCTTCCTCACTCACTTCACATACCTCCATATCTTTTCTCACACAATCTATCCATCTCTTTCTAGGCCTGCCTCTTCTTCTGTTACCTTCCACCTCAAATTCCATTACCCTCTTTGTTACTTCCTCAACGTCCCTCCTCATGATATGTCCATACCACCGTAACCTCGCCTCTCGCATCTTCTCAACCACATCCACCACCCTACATCGTCTACGGATTTCTTCATTTCTGATCTTATCCTTCATTGAAATCTGTAGAATCCATCTCAACATCCTCATTTCAGTTCTTCTCATCAAGTTCTCTTCCCTCTTTCCAACTGCCAAGCATTCAGCTCCATATAGTAGTACAGGTCTAATCACAGTCTTGTACATTTTGCACTTTAACTTTCTAGGAATTTTCCTGTCACAGATTATTCCAGTTATTTCTCTCCACTTGTTCCATCCAGCTTTCACTCTTTGTTTTACTGCCTCCAGTGTTTCTCCTCTCTCAGGAAGGGCATCCGACATAAAACCATCTTGCCAAAACCATGGTTGCAAAGAACACAAATGCTAAACAGATATAAATGACATATACATGTACATGTAATACTAATCTGTTTTGGTTTCCATGTAACCTCTCCAAATGTAAAAACAAGAGCATAACCTCTGTAGTTAGCCAAATAGAGATTCATTTTGATGGCGAATTCATCAGGGAGACATTTAAGCAGGTCACTTTTTTTGACCTGCATGAGGATTTAGCCAGGATTTCTTGTATTTTCCACTGGCTTTTGTCTATAGTGCAGCTCTGGGTATGTCTGTTCACTTTGCATCACACTGGTGTCGTCAATTGGCTCTGGCGTCTTGCAGATGGCATCAGTAGAGGCTGTATGCCAACACACGCTCCTACCAGGCCAGTGTACTGTTCTTGCCAGCATTTGCAGGCAACACACAATGTTCTTGGACAGTAAATAGGGACGAAGGGAGTGTTTCCAAAGGTGCCAAGTACTGCAGTGCTTAGCTTGTTAAAAGTCAAACCAAGCTTGTATTTGGAGGCTAAAATGAAATCTATCACATAATAAACCACATATATATTTAATTATTAGACATATTATTATTCTTCACTTACTGGCCAAACTACTAAGAATCCCCAGTGGAAAAGCCTGGGCCTCTATGAGGGAATAACACAGTTTTGAAACATTTGCAACTTTATTCCATCATAATTTTCTAGGAGAATTATCAGTGAATGTCATGATGACAATGGGCAGATCAGGGAAGGTGAATGACTTCTGTCTCATGTCCATGGCCAACCACTCATTGTCTGCCACGAAAAGAGTCTGTTTTGTCTCACTGAGGGTACTGATAGATTGGTCAGTGAATGCAGTGAAACCTATTTCAAAAGATCTTTTCTTTACATGCTAAGTAACATCTCTTTATTAGAGTGAATCACTATATTCTTGCACTAAAAGCTTTACAAGCTAATTGTCTGGGAAAACCCTCACAGCTCATTATAATGCATCATACAATTAGACAAATCTACATTTCTAAAAGAATCAGTGCTGATGTGAACTGCTTTGATTCTGCTGCAGAAGAGGTACTGGTTCCATACAGCAAACCCAACTTCCCATCTCCTGGAGGACACAGCTCCTCGGGAACTGCTTCTTCCAAAGGGTCCACAGGGCCAAGGAAAGGTGATGTCACACGAGGGTACATGGGGACGAATGGCCAAGGACAGTACTCTGGAGAATTATGTAAGTGTGTAAGCACAGTCATAAAACATACAGTACTCCTTGACGACATCTTTTGCACATAAAAACAAAACTGCTTTTTATTGAACAGTCATGTACTTTATTTTTAGTTGTTTTAGGTAAAAAACAATTTAATTGAGCTATTTTACTGTGTTAAACTGTATTAAAAATATTCCATCACATACTGTTAAATTGATTTCTTTTCATGTTTATGAAAGCAAAGTCTTGGTACAGTAAAACCTCAATATTCTCAAATTCTATATTTGCAATTTTGCCTGTTCGCGCAAACGTTTTAGTGATCCCTTTTTCCAAATTTGCCTATTTGCAGGCTGCACAGTAGGAGAGTAAATGCAGCATTTTCATCTCATGGATCTTCTTCATCTGACCTGCAGAAGTCTCTTTAATTTGGGTACAGCTTGGTTATCAAAGGGTTAACATGTTTATGCAACAGTTCATCATGGTTTATGGTTTAGTTATTCAGTTTCCTTCAGGAATGCATTGGATGTGCATTGTGTATAGACCTGTTATCAAAGTAATTCCTGTATGTGACTCAGTGTTGTGCTGCAAAATAAAAGAAATGATAGAAATACCCCTTATGGTCCCCTATGCTATCACCGTCTCAGTTCTTGTGTGTCTTGTGGAAAACAATTAAAAAACAATTAAGACAAATTGCAGGACAGTGAGTTCTTTGAGTGGGTAAGGAGTAAGTACACTTAAATTATTTCCTTGTCTGTTATCACTGTGCTGTACTAATCTTTTTACAGTAGTGTTGCATTAATAATAGTAATGAGAGCAATATGTAAAAAGTACAGTATACAAAATGCACTTTACTAAGTAAAAAAACTCTTAATGCTGGTCATTTTGAAGAACTTAACATTCTGCTTGCATTAATGAACTCCTTTATACAGAGATAAAATGAAAGGAACCAACAACTAAAGCCTGCATCATTTGGAAAACTGACATGCATAAATATTGTAGTAATTCTGTTTTGATGTCAAGGAGTAATTGTTTGTCCAACTACCCATCCTATCCTCTGAAAATACTCTGGAGTACACTAAAACCAGGAAGATTAGTAGATGAGATTTAATCATCTAATATATTTTAATGCAAAACGACACTCAGAAGAAAAAAAAAGTCTGAAACTTGATCAAGTTTTTTAGAATGTCTTTTCATTTGTTCTGTTATTCCATAACTCATGAGGCAAAATTGTTATTTCTGTATGTAGTCACTAGTAACAGCAGAATAAATGGTACATTCTTAAATTTAAATCCTTAAAAAAACATCCATATACATTAGATGAGGTAGATTTTAAAAATATAGACTTTCACAATCAAGAATGAAATAATATTAATTCCTTACATTTATATAGGGCTCTTCTGGACATTCCACTCAAAGTGTTTTACAGGTAATGGGGACTCCCCTCCACCACCAATGAGCAGCATCCACCTGAATGATGCGACAGCAGACATAGTGTGCCAGTACGCTCACCACACATCAGCTATCAGTGGGGAGTAGAATCCCATCATAGATGGGGATTATTAGGAGGACATGATTTGTAAAGGCCAATGGGAAATTTGGCCAGGACACCGGGGTAGCACCCCTTCTCTTTTTGAGAAACACCCTGGGATTTTTAATGACCACAGAGAGTCAGGACCTCGGTTTTACATCTCATCCGAAGGACGGCGCCTTTTTACAGTATAGTGTCCCCGTCACTATACTGGGGCATTAGGATCCACACAGACCTCAGCACCCCCTGCTGGCCCCACTAACACCTCTTCCAGCAGCAACCTTTTTTCCAAGGAGGTCTTCCATCCAGGTACTGACCACACCTGCTTAGCTTCAGTGGGTTGCCAGTTGTGAATTGCAGGGTGATATGGCTGCCGGCCATAAAGTAATCATTCAAAGGAATCAAAATGTGATAATTCAGGACATCAAGACTATATGTGTTTCTTGTCATTGCTTCTCTCTCATGCATTGCCTCCAGCCCTGGTTCTGTAGAACCCCAGCGTCATGTTACATTGGAATTTTGAATCCAGTAACTTGTTCATTTGCATAACTGAAAGATAGACAGAGAAACAGAAACAAATCCCTACTGTAGAGCAGTTGATCTTGCCACGAACTACTGTGTGTCCTTAAATTTAAGCTCAGAAATCCGATACAAGGTAACTGGGCCACATTTGTATAACAAAAAATGGCATATGCTAATCCCTACTCTGTCTCTTTTCTTTTTTTTCAGAGTGCATTGGAAAAGAAACACCATAGGATGAGAAACCATTTCAGCACCCACCGAAGTGATAACACCAGTTGGTGCAATGAACTTTTCCCTTATTTATATACCATTAGCAAAGAAAAAAGGAAAACTGTAAATGTGATGTAAAGACACACAGACACATATCCCACTGATGCTGATTTCTGTTTTAGCCTCCTTAAAATAAAGTAACACACCTCCCACCTTAACTATTTCTTGTCAGGAAAAAAAAATAAAAAAGTGATTTTAAAGTACAAATTCGCCCTTCAAGACAAAGGGATTTTGTTTCTGTAAATAATCTTTCCGTTGTTGCATTGCTATGCAAATTCACTTCGGTTTTGGCTTTTTCATATGATATTGTCTGTTTTTATTGGTCATTTGTACTATATGTGAATTGATAGGCTGTGGTGCCATAAAATAATTGTTTTATTATATAACATTTTTTATTATTATTGTTTATCGTTTTTGCACTGCAATTTTTGGTGATAAGCACAAAATATAAACTCCTGATAACATGAAGAATCCAGACTGAATGTGAAGAGGAGTTTCTGTACTGTAAACTAAAAAAAAATATATATATATAAGAGGTTTTGCTTTGGAAAGGGCCAGCACCCCAAGGAAGGTTGTGGTATTTATCTAGACCTAACATATACAGGATTAAAAAGGCTAGAAATAGATTGTGATAGTGGCAGGTGTATCTGTTAAAATCATAGTATTAGTGTAGAGCGGAAGAGAACAGGTGCACACAGAGATGGCTGAGGTTCAAATGGCACACACTAAATAAATCTTCAATGGGCATCACAGTTCATTTGGTGGAGCCTGCTCCTGTCAATAGCACCTTTCCCAGTGTGAATTCAAAGGAGGGTGGGGGCTGCCTGGGAAGTGATTAAAAGATCATAACACTCATTATAATGCCACATTTGCGTATTTGTAGTTTTGTTTCAATTCATAAAAAGGTACGGGTAATGCATGTTGTTTCTGTCAAAGCTATCTACAGAGCATGATAAGGTAATGAAACACATCTCATTTATGGAATAATCTATGCAATGCACAAAGACTTTTCTCTTCTTTCTTCATTTTGATTTATTTCAAGAGAAACAATAGTCTTTGAGTAATTGCTTGCTTTTACTAAGCTGAAGAATGTATCCTTGCTGTTTTTTAATGTGGTTCCCTCAAGTCATGGCCTGTCTCACTTGGCTAGTACTAACACAGGCACATCTGTCCAGCACTCCAACCTACACTTCAGCTTCAGGGACCAAAGTACAAGCTCCTTCAGCAGAACAGCAAACAGCACCTAGTATGTTGATTTAGAGCAGGAAACAACTTTAGTCAATGTGGTTTCTAAGGTATATGATTCCAGCTTTTCCCTTATAGACAGGATGATCTCTATTTAGGAGTGGCTAGTCGAACAAGAGCCTTGATTGTTTGAAGAACTGGTCAGTGTTCCAATTCACTAGATCCTTCCCAGCTTTGACTAGACTAAATTTTCTCAGGGACTTCAGGTCATCCTTGACCAGCCCCACTTCAGCCCCAAGTGTCATTAGAGGAGTTAGAGCATTTAGCTACAAAGATTAAGGGAGCAACTGGTTGATTCTGAAATGACATCCTAGTTCAACTTTGTAAAACTGCACTTTTGAGCCTCTCATGACCTCTGATGTCTAAACAGACAGTGCAGTACCACAATGCTTCATCTAAATAAATATAATGCGGCAGGGTCACAAGCCATGAGGATTTTCTGACTAGGTGTTTACCATGCCATGTTAATAGAACTCTCCTTGACCTGACAGAAGAAAAAGCCAGATCTCAGATTTGTGGCTTAACTCTATTCCAAAGCAATGTGATGCAGATTTGTTTTTGGCATGGGTCCCTGATAAATCAAGTTATCAAGGTTCCAACTGCATATCAGTTCCCTGCTGGAGACTTGTGTTGCGTCCTGCCAGTTACAACAGAACAAAAAGAAGCCCAGAGGAGCTTCTAAAAAGACTAGAATCCATGACCTTTTCTGAAGGTCCATCCAGAACCCCCTAGACACCGCCTCCAAATAAACATCCCTGATGTAAATCAGCAGGCTCTGGTGCTACACACTTATCTGGTGCTGTAACTCACCACAAACACCCCATGGGTAATCAAAACATTTACAGTCACACCCCAATTGAAAGTATGTCCAACCTCCTTCAGGAGGTAGTGATATTTACTTTGAAGAACTCCCTTATATATGCAAATATTCTAATCAGATGACTAGTTTCCTACTGTATATATGCCATCCTAGGACTCCACATCTTTCGTTCTTTATCCCCTTACTTGATGACTATGCTCAAGTTGATGTAAAATATCTGTTTACTGATAACATGGTTATCTGCACAGAAAAAAGTGAGGTCACTTTTGTTGGCCTTCAAATCTGAAAACAAAAGAGGAAGGAGCTTAAGTGCATTGCCCAGATGAATCCAGAATATGGACAGGTTTCATTATGTCGTTACACACAATGTTTTATTGGCAGCTTTATTGTAAACAGTCCCGCCAATCCTGCATGCTTTTAAATACCTGGCTGTATTTTTTGTATCAGATGATAAAGGATACATCCGCAGCTGTACATTCTTCTTGAACACTTATACTAGCAGACATTAGCCTCACTTCATACTACCCACTTTTAGCATTCATCAATGATAATTGACAGCTTAATTGACAATTCAAGACTTAGAACTGCAATATACAGCTTCAACGCTTGTTTGTCCTCGCTATTGGCCCTGCAACTTCTGGATGCTCATGAGAAATGAAAGACAAGGAAAATGTCTGTTGCTTTCCTATGTTTCCATATCAGGTGATTGTGAGCTGGCTGCCATGTTCCTTCCAATGAATACATGGTCACTGTTTTTCCCCAGGAATTACCTTTTTTTTTACATGGGTCTAAATGTAAGCTTTAATCACCCTGGCTTAAGCTTTGTAAAAGAAAATAATAACTTCAAAGAGATACTTCAGTATTTGATTATGTAGCAATAATAATCTTACCTGACTTCAAAATGTCCCATTAATCTGTTTCATCTCCAAAGATGGCATTATTTTCCTGTTTGTATCTTTAAATATTATTTTCATCCTGAAAGGTGATGATATCCCCCAAAACTTTTTTCTAATTAATCAACATCATCTTCATAATGTTTACATGCTTATAAAAGGAGTTTAAATGCTATGTGACTATTCTCTTTGTGTTGTTCCATGGTGTTAGTAATATGCACTATTAATTAAAATCAGAGAACTACAGTTCAAAATATCAGAAAGAAATAGAAGGAATGCAGATTTAGTATTTCATTTCTATTTTGCAGGGTATTGCTGTTAAAGCACAGTGCTCACAAGAGTTTTATCCCAGCTGTGGTTATCTCAATACATTTCGGTTTTTATTTCTCTACATTTTATTTGCTTTTTACTTATAATAAGTAGAATTTACTGACAATTTAGAATAATTAGAATGGGAAACACCTATTCCATATTCCCACCTGTGCTGATTAAGTAATTAGACTAATGAATGTAGTTTGTGACATGCCTATATTGTTGGCTGCAACACCTTGTTTAGAAAACTAGAACCAAACAGATGCAGGGAAGCACTTGTGACAAAGTGTGTGTACACAAAGTACTGTATCAATCAAGAAATCATTTCCATCCCTGTTGATGAGTCATAAGAAAAAGACAAAACTATAAATCAGCTTATAACACCCAAATGGGTGTTTTCCAGTTTTGTCAAATGTATAAATGTTAGGTGATATTTAATAAAGGATATAGCATTTATGTTAAATGTGATCAAACAAAACTGTATTCTGCTATGTTTACTTTTGAAATGCCAGGGGATGGTCTTGTATCTAAATGGTATTCTTCTGTGGAAAAACATAAAAACTAGAACATTAGCTACACACAACAGTATTGGCACCCTCGGTATCTTGAATTTGTAACTTTACATAGAACATCTTAACTACTCACAAAAATAGCTACTGTGATGAATAAGTGTTCAATAAGTGTAGAACAGATTTCACTGACCCTTTAGTATAGATATTGCACACTATTAAATATTCTTATTTTAGATAAAGTTTACTATTTTGCAACTCATAAAACCAAAAATAGACCTTTTCTTTTTTTTTATTTTAGGTCATCACATCAACTATTGAAAAGAAATAACTCACATACTTTGATAGTTACCTACTGTATGTGCAGCACCTAGTAGCAACATATTTAGAGTGCTCCTTGCATACTAAGTTATTTCTGCTGCCTACTATATAAATTTGGTGGCTGTTTCAGCAGCTGTGTTATTAATATTATGAACACACCTCACCCTCACCCTTTTTTAGACTTCTTTTCCTGCTGAAAACATTATTTATTATTATAAGATGGGTTTTTATTTCCATCAGCTTTCATTTACTTTGCTAATGATAATGCATGGTGAGGATGGTCAGGCTTTTTTACATTAAGGATGTATTTTTCCAAGTCATCACTGATACAACTTTCCATAAAATTGTCTATGGCAACACATATATAGAGAGAGTTTCCATGATTTCTGAGGAGTTACCATAAATAGTTTTCACCATCAATAAAGAGACAGCACTTTTGCAGTTTTAAACCCCCAGGCAGTCAGGTGCATAGGCTTGCTTATGTACACTGCTGACAGCTCACTCTGTGCAGCATCACCACCTTTCACCAGTCAAGAGTACTTCTGACTTGTTTTCTCACAAGGAATTAAACCTGCCCTTTATAGTCTTAAAAACTTGAAATACACCTGGTGTTCATAATTTGTCAGTTTTTTTTATTTGGGGGTGACAAACTCATCTCCAGATGGATGGCTGGAGTCCCCTGTGAAGTCATCACCAGTCTGTAGACAGCAGGTCGTCCAAAACATCATTGCTTCTTAAAAAGGGGGATGTCTACATTAATCAAATAAGAAGAGAGCACATGTTTTTTACTGTAGGACTGCGGCACACTTATTGATGCATCAGTTCGTTGTGCAGTGGTGCAGATGCACTCTTATATCTGTGGCCAGACTGTTCTGGAAGGAACCGGTAGACCAGATGTCAAACACCAGGTTGCCCTATGCTTGGACCTAACTTGTATCATACTTAACAAAAATTCAGACAGCCATAGAATCATAATGTATAAGCTCTCTAACAATAATGTCCTCCAACTGCCAATAACAGTAGCAGCCCTAGGTTGGAAATACTGGTTATTTTTGAAGAAATAAATGACTCTCAGCACTAGTTTTACTTCAATGGCAGGAGTCTTCTTATGTATGCAGAACTATTAGCCTTATTGTGGTTTCTATTTATAGCCTCCTAACATCTATAAATGACCATATCCTGCAATAATTTGCCTTTTCTGTGCTCAATTTAATTAACAAATGAAGAAGCAACATTGAGTAAAAATAGCTTATCATTCCCATTTCAAATAAAGCTCTTCAAACCTAATGAACTTTAGTGTATACCATGACTTACTGGCATGTTTTGTCTTCAAACACAATGTTGCAAAGTTGCAAAACCTCTATTATATTTGTTAATATTTATCTTGAAACAAAAAAACAAAACAAAATGGAAGTAGTAATAAAAATGTACCTGTTTCTCTGCTGATTATAAAGCTACTGGAAAACATATGTATGTTTGGTGTCCTTAGTTCAAGTTGTAAATTTGTACTGCAAATGTAGTATGTTCCAGTGTCTTTGTGTTGGATCCAGCACAGACAACATAAAGCTGCATGACTAAACATTGGTGAAGTAATTGCGGTAAAGACCATCCCAGGCCGATTACTAAAGAGTATTGTAAGACAAGATGCTGGCCATGTGCTTCGTCCAGACAAAGATTTCTCTGCACTGTACATGTGTTTTCTGAAAAAAACAAGTGAAGTGAAAGGCCATAATATGTCCATGGTGGCATAACACCATGTGAACAGCACTTGGAGAATTCTGGATCTTTTACTAGATGTTATCAAGCAGTGCCAAGTATATTAGCTTTTATAACATGTGTATTGGTATACTGTATGTACCACTCAAAACACTTTCTAAGTTTTAGTTCATGATGAGATAAACTTCATATGCCACTGGTCCTATTTTGTTTTTAGGTATATAGATGAGATCATTACTGGTTACTCAAGAGATTCAGAAACATTTTTCTCATTTTAGGATTAATGGTTGTTCACTTTTTCATATACAGTAGTACAGATACTGTATGTTATGTTTTAAAATTGTTTTGTTTCACTATTTTTTTTTTATTTCTGCCATCTTACAACAAGGATTCAAGAACTCTTATTTAGGGGCCAGCATATGGGAGAATTAGGAGCAACAAGTATCTCAGGTTATTTTAGCTTTAGCGTTGAAGCTGTTTGGTTTTTGTATAATTGCATGTTGATGCCTACAGTTTTCTTTCTGTTAAGTGTTATC